TTATCTTTTTATTTTTTACATTTATTTATTTATTTACAGAGACAGAGTCTCTGTCACCCAGGCTAGAATACAGTGGTATTGTCATAGCTCACTGTAACCTCAAACTCCTCGACTCGAATGATCCTCCCGGCTCAGTCTCCCAAGTTGCTGGGACTACAGGTGCATGCCACCCCACCTGGATAATTAAAAAATTGTTTTTAGAGACTGGTTCTTGCCCTGATGCCCAGGTTGGTTTCAAACTCCTAGCCTCACGTGATCCTCCTACCTTGGCCTCCTGGTGGGATTATGGGTATGAGCCGCCATGTCTGACCAGGATTGCTGGTTTAGATAACTACTTTAGGATTAAACGCTACAAGATTATCGTATTAGTCAAACTCTTTTGGTTTTAAGTTAGACACTAACTCAAACAGATTTAAGGAAACATAGGAATGTATTTTGTTCATGAACCTGAAAAATTGATGGATAGTTCTAGTATAGTCACCACTAGATCCAAGTGTTCAAAAATGTCAACAGTGAACTTTCCAAGTCCCCATCTTGATGACTCCCCCCTGCATTGCTTCCTTCCTTGGCTGGCTCTTGCCTCACGATGGCAAGATTGCAGCTGGTAGCTCGAGGTTTACATCCCCAAGCTCAGCAGCTCGTGCGCAGCGGCACTAGCTAATATCCTGCTGTTCTGTTTACTGTGCTGTGAACTTATAGGTCCTCTACTGACCTGATCACTATGATGGGGATGGGGTAACTCTGACCCTCCTTGTCAGATCTGGGATATGTTTTTATCTCTAGAGGTAATAGGGTACGATAGCCCCGCCTAAGTCACATGACCTGAGAGCCAGCCAGAAACTGGTGACAAACTGGAAAACTCATGTGGTTATCAAAGTTCTGAGCACAAACACAGCAGACGTGCACATGGTTCTCTCTCTTTCCTTTTTGTTGCTAGTATTTCTCTTATTCCCTAGAGCTAAATGGTGTAATAGACCCCAAGCAGGTCGCTTTCGGTGTCCTTTTTCTGTAAACACACACACACACTAGATTTTTAAAAATAGTTAAACTGCTTTTTTTGACTGACTTTTTACCTCAGCCTTTGCAATTGGTCTGACAGCTCCGGTGTTTGTGCTGGAGCCAGTGAATGCCATGTGGGCTGATTTGCACACAAGTTTTTCATGATTGCGTTTCTCAATAAAAATCAAGGAATACTTAAATTCCCAGCAGTTTTCAAACTAGAATCTTGTCCTGAGTTCTCTGATACTATATGGATTTAAAGTAAATTCAATTTTCAGGACCATACTTTCCCTTAACTTTCTTTTTGTAATTAACCAATGACTTCTGATATTCAGTGACTGCTCCTGCTACCCTGTAACTTGCTGATATTTGGTCCTGACTGCTACTTGTCACTACGAACAAGCCATAAAATACCAATATCTGCAACTCCTTCTTGTATGGGGAGTAATGATAAAATGTTATAGTGTTTTGGGCCTTGTTTTATTTCTTCCAGGCAACAGTTTGGGTTCTCTTGCCACTGTTAGCATACTTCTTTCCCAGCATGCTTTCCCGTCCAATTTGGCAGCTACATGGTGTTTTCCTTCCCAGGAAGGATATTGTAATTTATTGAGTACCTATTTTCTGTTAAGTACATTGACAAGTCTTTTCTGCAAATCATATCATTTATTTTTCTTAGCATCCTTTTGTGGAGTGGGTATCATTATCCCCACTTAAAAGATGTGAAAATTGGCCAGGCGCAGTGACTCACGCCTATAATCCTAGCACTGTGGGAGGCTAAGGCAGGCAGATTGCTCAAGGTCAGGAGTTCAAGACCAGCCTGAGCAAAGAGTAAGACCCCATCTCTACTAAAAATAGAAAGAAATTAATTGGCCAACTAAAAATATATTTAAAAAAATGAGCTGGGCATGGTGGTGCACGCCTTAGTCCCAGCTACTCAGGAAGCTGAGGCAGAAGGATTGCTTGAGCCCAGGAGTTTGAGGTTGCTGTGAGCTAGGCTGAGGCCATGGCACTGTAGCCCAGACAACAGAGTGAGATTCTGTCTCAAAAAAAAAGACATGAAAATTAAGACTAAGGATAAATATTAATAATTTTCCAAAAGCATTTTTAATAGAATGGATGGGAAAATCTTGGGATTTAATTTTGAGTCTGCTAAACTTGAAAGGCCATTCTCCAAGATTAGGCTAGAAGCTTTAAGATGCTGGGAAAGTATGAGATCCAGTTTCTAGCCTAAAGTGAAAGGGCAAAGACTAACACATTGAAACAATGAGAGTGAATTTAAGACAAGTTCATTTCTAAGTGCTGTGTGTGACATATAATTTATGGTGCTATTCAAGTTCAGAAAACAGTGAATTCTGCCTCCAAATTCTACTCTACTTCTATCTGAACATGACTGGGAATATCTATAAATATTAAATCAAGAACTTATTTTAAGTGTAACCCTGGTACCAGTTTCATGATATTCCAAGTCACTGTTTTGTTCACTGTGCTGCAAATTTAGACATTTGAGTCTCCTTAGACTTCGCTGAACCCCAAACATTGGTGAACCCTGCATATCTTTGAATATGTCAACTCTCATGTCCCTTGCTTTTTAGATCCCATGAATTCCTTGATAAGCACAGATCACAGATGTGTACCCTTCATTGTATATCTGATTTGGCAAGACACAATGGCCAAGGGAAGATGTTAATCTGCGCCCTGGATATATGCTACTTGGTTGAATTCAGTTCAGTTCAGCTGAGGCTTGCCATATGTGCAATAGGCCAAGTGCCCCCAAATGGCAGCCAGCATGCAGGGCATGTGGGGGTTACATCCTGTTTACCCGGGGTCTACTATATGCACGGCACTCTTCTAAGCACTGGGGACACAGTGGTCAAGACAGACAAGGCAAGGTCTCTGGTTTCATGGAGCTTACATTCTAGTTCCATAAAAGAGTGAAAAAACACTTTCAGCTAGTGACATGCACAGTGATGAAAATAAAACAGGATTTCAGGGTGGAATGAATTGGTGTGGAGGGTAGAGGAGTCAAGAGCAGAGGGCAGGAGCTAATTTAAACTGGCAGGCCAGCGAAGGTCCTTCTGAGAAGATGGCTTCTGAGCCGCGCCCTGAATGCAGGCAGAGAAGGGAGCCAGACATGTGAGGAGCTGGAGCGAGAGCCTTCTAGGCAGAGCAGTCATCCTGTGTACAGGCCTAAGAAAGGGAACGAACTTGGTCAGTTTAAGGCTGGGCAGGAGGACATAGCCAGCATGGTGAGAGCATGGTGAATTAGAGGGAGAGTGGTAGGAAGCAAATCTGAAGACAGGGTGAAGTGACATGGGGTCTCACAGGCCATGGGACCAAGTTTGTGTTGTGTTTTAAGCAGAAGAATGACAGAGAATGATTTACATTTGAAAAAACATCTTGGCTGCCATGTGGGGAATGGATTGAGGTGTAGAGGGGTAGAAACAAGGCTTCACCTCATTTTGAGGTGAATGTTTGAGCAAGGTAGGTTATATTGTCATTGTTATTGATATCGTATACCTCAGTGGTTCCCAACCTTTTTGGTACCAGAGACCGGTTTCACGAAAGACAATTTTCCCACAGATGGGGGTTAGGGGAGAGGAGAGGAGCTCAGGCGGCCATGCCAGCAATGGGAGCGGCTGTGAACACAGGTAAAGCTTCACTCGCTGGACTGCCGCTCACTCCTGCTGTGCGGCCTGGTTCCTAAGTTTCAGGGCAGCCAATTTTTCCACAGACCTGGGGAGGGGTATGCGGCCCGGAGGCTGGGGACTGTAGGTATACCTGGCCAAGGAATTTGGATCTTCTTTCTCCCAAAGCTAAAGATCTGTGACGATCATAGCTCCCATCTATTGAACGCTTACCATGTGCCAGTCGTGGTTTTACGTGCATTCCCTCATCAAGTTCTTACAAAAACCGCATCAGGAAGAATCAGGATGCACATGCAGGCCGTGGGCTTTGGCGCTGACTTTGTGGTCAAAGAAGAGCCTGCGCTGGGAGGACATATCCAAGGACAGCTTGGCTGTGTGCAAACTACTGTGGGAAAGGGTTTGGGAGAGACTTAGATGAAAGGGGAGCAGAAGCTGCCCTGGCAGTCTATAGACCAGAGAGTTGGGCAGGTACCCTGCTAACTCTGAACAGAAAGTGGCAGCCTCCTGAAGGAGAATTTGTTGATGCTCTTTAATGTCCCAGTGTCAGAATTGAATTCCTACACTTTCTACTAGGTCAGTTTTGTGCTAAAATGGTCTTGGAACATCTGTCTTTGCCTGGCGGTGTCCTCTACCCTAGGTAGGCAGGTGGCATTGTTTCCTAACTTTAGTTCATGTGTCTGTTTGTCTCTCTCTCCCTCTCCCCCCGACCCACACACACCCACCCTTCCCATCCCAAAATCTGGGCATTCCGGCGTTTCTCCAGAGTGCCAGGGTAGCTTGTTCTGTCCTAAATGTTCACCTTGGGGGTGTGGTTTTGTCTCCCCCAGGTGCTAAGGGTTTTTTCACGGCCTCAAGATATCATCTCGACTTCCCAGGACTCAGGTGTTTATGTGTGCACAGAAACCACACTGCAAAGTTAGGATCAGGTCCTGCTCCCTTGTACCCCAAGGTATAGAGAAAGCTAGAGCCCAAATCTGGTATCACCTAAAAGAACAGATTTTGTTTTGGATTTGGCTTTTCTCCTTCTTCCTTCTCAGAGGAAGACTTCTTCCACAGTAAGAAGACTTACTATGTTGCTGTTAGTTTTCTCCCAGCATTCACTCTAGCAAGTTCTGGAGGCTCTGGTGTCTGTTGTTGGCCAGGCTGCATATCAGTTTGTAGAAAATGGGTGTAATTCTAAGGAATTGATGTTTTCATTTGTTAGCCAAATACCTCAGATCAGCAGTGGCTGGTTAGCTGCCAGTTGATCTGAGTTTTACATGGTTTTTTGTTTTTTCCCTTAGATGAGAACTACTGTGTGCTAAAGCTGAGGTGAAACCATTTCAGTTAGTGTGTTAAAATATAATTACACCTCTCAGAGATACAGTCCCGGCCTAGCAAAATGAGAGCAAAAGCTAAATAGGGTCAGTAGAAGGAGAATGAGTACTGGTACAAGGTAGATGGAATCGTAACTCACTTTATTTTCAATGATGTTATACAAATTAAATAAAATCCTATTCCCATTTATTTTATTTTAGCTGAATATTCTTATCCAAAATGAAAATCAGATGTTTTTCTTCTTTTTCATTTTTTTCCAAAGCAAATGGTTACAAACACTTACTTAATATAATTTACTGGTGCTTTTTTCTGAAAGAACGTTTATGTTACTTTCTTTTATGCATGCACTAACTTTTGATCAAAACACAACTCCACTCTCTTGTTTAATGTTGAGCATCTGGATTAAAGCCTTCTTTTAATCTTAAATACAGATTATGGCTCTCTTTTCCTTTAAGCAAACCGCCATAAAACCTTGGCACCTTTCCAGTTTTCTTCATTAAAGCTCTCTTTATTACAGTGTTTTCGGATGGCAGTCATTAAATGATTGTTATGTACAATGGGCACTTGATTATAATTATTTAACTGGCAATCAGTTATTGCAGCAATTTGGTGGTATAATTAAAAGGGAGCATGTTTGTACCTGCCAGCATCTTTGAGATCTTCAGCTCTGGATGAAGGGGGAGAAGCAGAACATAAACATATGGATGGAAGAATCAAGCACATCTGTGAATGGAAGCTTTCCTTTTATTCCTCTCCAATCTGGTTCTCAGCCTCTTTGTTCTGTAAGGTAGATGAACAATGGTGATAAAATAAGATGTAGATAAGAATTTTTGTGACAAACTCCCAAATCAATAAATACATTCAGTAATGACTGTCAGTTTCTCCATGGGCTGAGAAATGCTAAATGGTTAGAGGTATATTTTTATAATTCTGCTTTAAAAAAAAAAAAAACAAGCATGGGAGTATTTTCCCCCCTCTAATTTATAAATTTCAGCATTTATTTCTTGACATATAAATTGATATGGGATGCCACTAACAAAAAGTTGCTATGGAAGATAAGTGGCATTCATTGGCACACATCTGGAAAGCCATTAATCACTAAAGAAGTCAGCAACAGTATGGTTCTCAAGTTAGGGTGAGCCCCTTGCGTTCCTCAGAACTCTTTTAGTTGTAAATGACACATTTTCACCAACCCAAGCAAAGAGAGAACTTCTTGGTTTATGTAGCTGGAATGTTACTGGAACTGCTCATAGGATTAAAGGAAGAGCTGCGGGAACCAGGGCTCAGGGCTAGGAACTGGGATTCAGCACCTCCTAGATTCATTCTATGCCCATCTCCCAGCTGAGCTTGCCTTTGTCTTCATTCTGAGGATAGGCAGGAAACATGGCCAAGGTCCCTGTCTTCCTTGCTTAGCAACTCCGGTGGAAAGAAAGCAACATCTGATCTTCTATGTTTTGTAAATTAGTCTCAGGAAAGGACTCTGATTGGCCCTACTTGGGTCATATACTCACCTCTGGATGGTATGATTATGGGGCAAGGAAGCTAGAGTCCTGTGATTGACAGTCCTAAGAAAACACAATGATTATTTTCAAAAATGAATATGTAAATCTCAAGTATCCATACTTAAAAAAAAACCTCTCTAAATGTTTTCCCAAAATGGATATCCATCTTTCTTGTAGAAACATTCCATCTTGTAAGACTGAGGCATGAAAGTATCCATCTGAATTTCAAACAATTGCGTAATTTTACCTGCAGTCACTTCTTGAGCCTCAAACACTCCTTAATAGTGTGGCGTAAGGGCAGGGGCATTTAGACCCTAAGATGAGACAGGCACAAATTAAAGAAGCCTGCTATGACAATGTGGCCGCCATAGCTGCGTTACCATCAAGGGACTCCAAATCTAGGGTTCAAGGGAGCACAGTTTTCAACCACTCCCTCAGAATAGTAATGTACTTACAGCAGTTTTGGATAATCAAATTCTCTGTTTCTGTGTTGGTTCTGTATTAGAATCTGCAAATGCAAAGGCAAAACAGTCTACAAAGGAACAGACTTAAATAGCAGCCTTAAAAGTAAAGGAAACCAATTGAAAATTTAAAAGGAAAATGCCCCCTCCACCCCAAACATGATCTAATCATTGTTCCTTAAGAGGAGATTATGAATCATCCTATTTATCGAGCAAATAAGGAGGACAATTGAAATGTGCATGCTCAAACTTGAATAAAAATAAAGTAATTCTTAATTTCCTGCTTCTCTTATTGATGCACATTTATTATTTGACAAGTATTTATGTGTACAACTGAAATATTTAAGCTCTGGGTAACTTAAGTGACTAATAGAATACTACCTGAACACACAGGGAGAAATAAGCTGCTCCGAATATGTGCATGTATATTCACACACACATGCACAATTTTTTAGTTTGTGGATATTGGCCACTGTTCGAAGAGTTTCTTGGGAATCGAATCTTCTCAATGGCAAGCTCCAGCATTGCCTTTGCCAGCAGTTTATTTCATATGGACTTGAAGCCAATTTTCTTTTCACATATGTGAAATAGCAGTTTGGCACAGAGCAAATAGAACAGTGACTCCACAGAAGACTGATGCTTTTCAAAAAGTGAAATGGGCAGGTTCAGAACTAATTTTTTCTTTAGGTGAGTTGAGTTTAAATTAAATGTTGCAAGAGATTACCATATTTGTGTGAATCTCAAGAAGTCAAAGGCCATGGCAATAAAGTGTTTTCATTTTATAGCATTTTTCTTGGAAAGGCCGCACACCATATGATAGCAGAGTACTCAAGACCCAGAGCCTGGTGCCAGCACAAAACTCAAACATCATAAAGTTACTTCCAAAGCCCAGATATTTATCGATCCCTTCTCTTGGAGCAGAACATCTCTCAACTAGTCCAAGTCTGCCAGCTCGGAATCACCTTCCCAGCGTTGAGTTTCAAATGGGAAGCCCACGGTAAGGCATGTTCTCTGAAAAGGAAAGGAAGAGCTATTGAACAGCAACTGTCAAACAAGTCAAAAAAGTCCCCATCGGAGGGGCTTTGGTAAAGAAATCAAGGGATGCCAGCCAGCGGCCCCTTTGGTCACTGTTGTGTGTGTGCACAGTCCCTAGGTCAGTTTCTTAAAACCCAGCTGACCTCTCTCCAACAAATTGCCTGCATCTCGCCCTCTCCGTTTAGGGCTGTGATCCCTACCAATTATAAAACATGGAAGTGAAGGAGCTATTTGTTCAGGTTTTCCAGGCTTCTGCACTGCCCTGAAATCAGTAAAAAGCCTTATAATTCTTGTTCCCTGGTTCCCCAACTTTGCCTGCAGGGTTCTAGGGAATCCTTTGCCTCCTCTGTAGGCTGGAAATGTATGTAGCAGATCTTTTAAAGCTTTGCTCACCAAGACTTGAAACCCCGGCTCCTCAGTGAATTTCCATAACAAGGTCACTGCCAAGTTACACAGATCTGTCAAGGAAGACTTTCCTGGGAGAGCGCCGAGGGCTGTCCGCGGGGTGACAGCTCAACAAGTAGCCCTGGCTGGCCAGGCTTTCCTCTCTCCCTCCCCCAGCATTAGACTTAACTACCACCTGCTTATACATCTGACGAGAGCAAGAGATCTCGATCACAACAGATGATCAAATTTGATGCCAGGAGTGTAAACATGTCATAAATTACTCTTAATTCTTCTCAGCAACGGATGCTATTAGTCTTTAGTTATGGAAAAAATGTACTCCCTTGAATCTGTCTTATTTATATAATAGTTGATCTTCTTGCATGACTATAAATTTGCTTTCTTCACCAAGCGTCTCCTAAGCACATACTTTGTGCAGAGCTGTGTAGGCAGCTGTTCTGGAGAGCAGAAGCGGGAGTCAGTGTGTGAAGGGTGCAGGTCAGCTGCGGTGACACAGCTCTGAGATGGGCGGCGTGGTGGCTGTGCAACAGTGTGGATGTGCTCCGTGCCGCTGAGTGGTACACTTAAAAATGGTTACAATTGTAAAGTTTGTTAGGCATATTTTATTTTATTTTTTTTTTATTTTTGTTTGAAGCAAAGACCTCACTGGCATGTTAGGCATATTTTAGCATGATTAAAAAAATTAGATTTCTTGCACTTTTACTTAGTCAAGGTTAATTGTGTATTTGCTGCAAATTTTAAATTCCACATATATCTCCTAGCAAAATGTAAGTGTATGAAACTTACCACAAGGACCTAGAATTCTACATTTTTTATATTTTACATAGCAGGTGCTGCGATCATTGTTTTTCAGTTTCCTCTTATTATCAGAATATTATATAAGGTCTAATTTAAGGTAACAAATGATTATCCCTTGAAACAGAAGTAAGAACAGAATCTCCACTAACGAATTGTCTAACCCTTTTCTGAGTTGGGCCTTTAACTTAATGTCCATACCACAGTGCCAAAAATGATGAAAGCTTTGTTGAGTTTGGAACAGAGCTTCATCTCCTATCTCGAGGCTTTGTGAAGTGGAAAAGGCCCAGGCTCTGGTTCCTGCCTCTGTCTTTTGAGCAGGGCTATTACTGGGCAGTCATTTAATCTTTGTGGACTACAGTTTCTTCATCTGTAAGATGGGAGTGAAGGCGCCTGCCTTGCAGCGTTCTCAAGCCCAAATGTGGGGACGTTTATGAGCACGCTTAGCACCGTGCTGGGCACCCAGTAGGTGCAAGTCAAAGCCATCTCCCTGCCCTCAAGGCTTGTGCGATAGATAATTAGAGGCCTTTGTGAGGATGAAATGGCTGCCTGAGAGGGCTCCACGGAGCCTTCACCCTCCACGTGTGGGAGCACCTGAGCCGTCTGAGGATCCTCTTCTCCCTCTCCTCACACCCAGGTCCCTTCTCCACCCGGCTGGCTGTCTGCTCTCTGCTCTGCCTGCCTGTGAACTGGAAAGTTCGGAGCGGAGTGCCGCCCCCGCCCCCAGCCAGGCGTCCACAGCGCTCAGCGTCTCCTGCTGTTTGGGCTTCGAGCTGTTTCAAGAAAGACTCCACAGCCTGACTGTCTCCCTCCCTGACTCACCACCTTCCCCTCGGCTTCCTTTGACTCTCACCCTCAGTGTACAGCCAGCAACAAGAAATGATACCTGTCACCACAGACTGTTCCTTTTGGCCCTAGTGGGCCTCCTTCAGCAGTGTGACCTTTCCTACCAGCACCGTGAGTTATAGGGATAGCCAGGGCTAGACAGCCAGACCTTTTCGGCCCTTTTATTATTTTTGAACCTTTTTATTGAGGTTTATATCACTCATACACAGTTAGGTGCATAAATCTTAAGTGTACATCTCACTGAATTTTTATCATTCATATACCTGGGTCAGTGCAAGCCAGGCAGAGACGTAGAAGAGTTCAGTTACTCCAGAGCCTCCCCTGAGCCTCCTTCCAGCCAGTGCTCCCAAAGATAACTATATTTCTGACCTCTGTGACCCTAGATTAGTTGGGGTTCTCAAGTCTTTTCCACCTGTACCCACCCCTAAGTCCCATCTCTCCTATTTAATATCATGTAAGAATTCAAAATTACTGACTGCCTACTGTGACAAAAGGAAACAGAAGTGATGGTAATTTTAGAAATACTTCTCCTGCCCTCTCCTGCCTCCATATTCTAACGTGCCCTCTACCCATCCTCCCACCCCCAAACCAGGTCGTGGGGAGGGAAGAGAAAGAGACACCAGGGACCTTTGTCCTGTTTTCCAGGTGCTCCATCCTCACAGTAGAGTGCTTTCTAAGAAGAACAAGAGTGTGCTCCTTAGAATCATCAGACATCTGCTGAGCTCCCAACATGCACAGATCCTGTTTCCCTTTTTCTGTCAAAGCAGGATTTTTCTTTCCCCTGATTATGTTTGAATTTTCTTGGGGATAGGGAATATATCCAAAGAGGAATAGCACCACTGCACTCCCCTTCCAATGCACTAATGTTGAACATGTAGAATTGTCACTAGCAAGTAATGTGACGAGAAGGTTACTTTACAGGAAGTACACAGAAGCCCCCATTTTGGTTTGTACCGCCATACTCAAATCCTTGTATATAGAAGTGGAACTTAATCTGTTTACCCTACAGTAAAAATATCCACAAGAAGCTATGATTATATTGCTATTGGAGCCAAACAGGAAATCAGAGGACTCACAGATGTTATCTGCTTTAATGCTATGAGTTTTCTATAAACTGACTCTGCAGCCAATCGGGATGGCTCTTACAATAGAATTTAAAGAACATATTATCAACACAATGTTTATTCCTTGGGCTTTGAAGGCTACATTGTGTTCCCAGAGTTCTGAAGGCCAGAAAGACAGGGAGAGGGAAAATGAACCCAGCAAGAAAGAATTGGGATAGATTCCATCATTACCATGAAAATATAATTGTGACATTCTTTGATATGTGGTAGAATTGGGTATAGTTCAACAGTTACGCATCAGCATTTATTATAGAAGTAGTATGGCACAAAGCACAATTTGCAGCCTCAAGGGAAGGTGATTCGCCAGAAGAATTAAGTCTTCAAAACTGTCTTTTTCAGCATTTTTATTCATGATTTAGATTACGACAAAATTGGCACATCTGGCAAATTCATGGATAATGCTAAACTGAGAAGAGTAAAATCAGGATCCAAAGAGATTGTAACAGACAAGAGGCTGGGCCTGGCAATGTAATATACAGCAGGCACAAGTGTAGTACTTAGATCTTAAAAAAAGGTACTTAGATCTTAAAAAAACAGAAGTCTCCATGAATGCAGGATGGGAGAAGCAGGACTAAGTAGTCCTGTGAAGGGAAGGTTTTAGACGCCTGCAAGCACATTGTGGGTGAGACAGTGGTGTGAGGTGCTTCACAGATAGCTAGCTGCACTGTTCAGTCACATTTCTAGAAGCTAAATGACCAGAACCTATGCTTAGGGTTTTGACTTCACTTCCGATTACTACACTTGAAGATGCTAAGGGATTTTGAGAGCCAGCAGTGGAAACCATGTTATGAGGAATAGTCTCAAATAGAAGAATGAGTAGTCAGATGAAAGAAAAAAAACGGAGGGAAGCATGTGTCCCATCCTCAGATATGGAAAGGGCTGTTCTGTATATGAGGCAGGTGCCCAAGCAGGCAAAGGTAGGATTACAGAGAAGTT